TATATATATATATATATATATATGAGTATAATTAAAACTGAATAATGCAACGGACTTTAATTAATGTGATTTAATTATATCTGGGTGAATACAATATTCAGGGACTTGACAATAATATATGTCGTATCTTACACGAAGGTGATTCTTTGTTTCCAAATAAAATATAAAGCAACTCTTACCTAATTTCAGCGCGGATTCACATGATTTGCGTGCGTATAGACATCCCAAACAGCGTACGATATTCCATAGACCTTTTGTGGATATTCTTAGAAACGTCCTCAGAGGAGATTTGTGCTGTCTGGGATATCATGCTATCATAGTGATTGGTGAATTAGTACATCAACGTTATATATAATTTTGATGTATGTAATTATATGTTTAACACATAGTTAGGTATATCGAAGTTACATATAAATGATGATTTGGGCATGTCAAATCGATACGTGATGTTCAATAATGTCTCGATTTCATCGACTCAAAACCGCTAAGTTTTTTTATGAAATGAGATGAAGTATTGTCTGAAAAAAATGACTTTAGATCATTAAAAAGAACGGGGACTATTTTGGTGATGGAATACATAACACTTTGTTTTTAATGAAAATTGTAATGTTTGCAAAAGAGTAATGAATTAATTTACAGGCCTAATAGATTTTTCGACAATCGCAAACAAGATAACAATCTCGCATTTATTTGATTCACGAGGGACAAGATACCGCAACGCTGAGATTTCTTCATGAAACCGGCTCGGTTTGTTGAACACGTGTCCGACGCATGCGTCAGGTCACGTACATTCGTGCCCTTGCGTATTCTTCAATCAATCGTTCACCTCGAACACGCCCACGTGGAATCACTGAGCTGATTGCTCCTGTAGTATATATGCGTAATTTACACTGTTCATCATATACGTTATTCCCACGTGTTGTATGTCGTGAGTATTTGCGGAAAACTTAGCTGTCAGTATTCGACTTATCTAGAGCGATGCGCTGAATGATAAGAAATTGTGATTGGGAAAAAAAAATTATTGAAAAGTTAGCGAAATTGAATACTCGAAATATTTAAGCAGGAAAATCTAACGACTATCGTAAGATTAAGTAAAGTAATTTTTAAGAAATAATTATTCATTTAATTTTATATATGTTAGAGATCTATTCGCAAGCTGTTATTGAAACGGAAAATTATTAAGGGATCGATATATGATAGCGATTATATTTGTAGATAGAGGAATAAGCGATATAATGTTTTAAATTGAGAATTGAACAATTATATTTGTCAGTGTTGTTCAATCGATTTTTTTTTTATTCATTTATTGAAAAAGAAATAGAATAAATTTGAAGAGTCTCACATAATTTCCGTATTTGAATATTACAGCAGATATCATAAAAAATTAAAACACGAATAACGGTAAATTAATTCAAGCATGACGGAACAAGCATCGAAGATGCACCACGTCCTGGAGTTTCGAAATTAGCTATGACGCCGGAAATCATCGATAAAGTCCATGATATAGTTTCGGCCGACGGACGAGTGAAAGTGCGCGAGTTAGCAGAGGCCACAAGTATCTCAACTGAGCGGGTTCGCTTCATTTTGCATAATGAATTGCTCATGAAAAAACTTGGCGCAAGATGGGTGTCGCGTTTGCTCACATCAGAGCAGAAACGAATTCGAACATCAGCCGACTGTTTGCAAATATTTAAAAAGAATCCAGAGGATTTTTTGCGGCCTTTTGTAACTATGGACGAAACTTGGATTCACCATTACATCCCGGAAACAAAATAGCAGTCGAAACAGTGGGCCGCACGAAC